AAAAAGAAACAAAGCCAGAATGCTATGGACTGAACTATGCTCTCCAGTTCATGTGTTGAAGTCCTAGTGCCCAGCGTGGCTGGATTTGGAGTAAGGAAGTGATCAAGGTTAAATGAGGTCACCAAGGTGGGGCCCTGATCCTACTGGATTAATGCTCCTAGGAGAGGAGACACTAGAGACCTTGCTCCCTCTGTCTACCATGTGAGCACAGAGTGGGGAGGCGGCTGTCTGCAAGCCAGGAAGGAGCCCTCACCAAGGAACTGGCCTCGCTGGCTCCTTGGCCTCGGATGTCCAGCCTCCGGGACTTTGAGAAAGTAAGTGTCTGTTGTCTAAGCCTCCCAGTCTATGATATTTTGTTATGGCAGTCAGAGCGGATGAAGACAGAGATAAGCAGATCCTGAATACCCAGGTTGTTTCTTCTTGATCTAATTGTGGGGTCCTAGACACTTCCCAGTGTGCAGCTTCAGCTGCAGCCCACAGAACTCGATGTGGGGCTCTCTGTCCTTTCCATCAGGTCAAAATATTTCCTAATTTCTCTGGAGACTTTCCTTTCACCCCATGGATTATTGATCAGGGTGCCGTTTGATTGATTTAAAATATGTGGGGATTTCCCAAACTACCTACCCATTTTGAAGGGGCAATTTTTGGCTCTTATCATAGAAAGGGGAGCTGTGGGCAGTTTTCCTGGGCCCTGTCATATCCCAGCCATGTTCCTTTGCATTATTTGGCTGACACCTTCCCTTGTGGCCTGTCCCTGGGTCCTGATGTGTCACAGGCCTGAGCCCGCAGTGTGCTTCCTGGGGTGTGGACCCCAAGACTCTGAAGCAGGGTTAGGGCAAGTGGGCCCATCACAGAAGCTGTCTACAGGGCAGTCTGGAATGAGGGGCAGGGCTGTCACTCACCTGTCCCCAGACCAGCCCCCCAACACCAACAAACAGGCACCAGAGCCACTGTTCCGTGGATAGTGGGGAGCAGCTGAAGGGCTTCCTGCCGAACTGGACAATGACAATCTGCAAAGGGCAAGTGGGAGAGAGGAAGGTCCAGCTGCGGCTCCTGAGCCACCCTTGTTCTCCAGCCCCTTGAAGGCCCAGCCACCCTGGTTGGTTCGCCCAGGTGCATAGGCTGCTCCCTGCAAGAGAACCACAAGGCCGGGGGTGCCATGACAGAGCAGCACATGGCCTCCACCGCCTCTGGGTGCCAGGCACCTACTGACTCCAGCCTCGGAATTGGGCCCAGCTCCACTGACCATGCTCCTATTTTCAGCAAGACAGGCTGTGACACCCACACTGTGGGCACACTGGATGCGCCTCATTCTGGAGGACCCTAGAACCTGCTGGGGTCACCTTGCCTTGGCCTCCTGCCTCCTCAGGAGGCATTCAATTCCCAGAGGCGAGCTTTCCAAATGTAAACTGACCCTGCCCTCTGTTGGACTGTCACAGTCCGGGCCACTATCCCCTTGTGCTCATTACCCAAGACCAGGTACCAGACAGCCAGGGAGCACCCCTATGCCCTAGAACTGCTTCAATGATGCAACCTAGCCAGTCCTGAGCCTACCAGCCCTGCCTCACCCGCTCCTCCCCGAGGGAACCACAGCAAAGGCTCTTGTCCCCAGCTCTCACACCCTGCCTCCTGCTTGGTACTCTTCCATGTGGGCTCCTATGGTGTGGCATGTGCTCTCCTCTTGGAATCTGTGAGTCATAAACTGTCTTTCAATAGCAACTGTCTCCTGACCTGTTGGACTTACTATACCTCATTTTTTCTACAAATACACTATATTTTAGAACACTTAGCCCCTCCTAGACAGTGGGGCTGACCAGCCTGTCCACAGCACTGTGTTAAGCAGAGGTTAGTGTGTCAACATTGGGCACAGAGGGCATCTCCAAAAGAAACTTCTGGAGCTATGGCAGCCTCATGCCAAGGAATTAAGTGCTAGAAATGGGAATGGCAGACCTAGAGGGAGCCAGGGAGGACTTCTTTCAGCATCTGTGAGAAAACTTAGTTCTGATGAAGGCTCATGAAACCCTTCTGGAAGCCAGCACGCTAACCCAGGGCAAGGCCAGCAATGTTTGGAAGATGAAGGCCCGCTCCGACATGCAGAGAGGACAGGGGGCTACAAGAAAGCCAGGTGGGGTGGGGCTCCTTCTGGGAGTGGAGGTGGGGAGGCCAGTACTAGGGGTGGACATGAGGCCTTGAAGCCCACCACCTCCACCTTTTGCAAGTGGCAGATGCCAAGAGTAGAGCCGCCCCTCCTACCTGAATCCCGAAAGTGCCCAAAACGATGGTGCAGAAGATGGGGTTGCTGAAGATGCCGTCGAACACGTTCCTCTCGCCATGGATCTTGCGGGCATTGATCTCGTTGAAGAGCTGCATCATGACGAAGGTGTTGAAGATGATGGTGTAGTGCTCTGAGGGTGGCGAGTGCAAGGGCGCATTCCTCCCGCTGTCGATGTCAAAGAAGAGCTCCCCTGGAAAGCAACATTCCCCACTCAGGCGGTCACCTCAGTGCATGACTCAGGATCGAGACTGCCATGTGTAGCTCCCGAGATGGGTCCCTTGTCTCAGGGGACGGCCACTTCCAGCTCACAGCCAAGGCCCAAGGCAGCCACACCTACCCCAGGCTCAACCAACCAGAGTCCTGAGACCCCACTGGGCCAGGGGCCAGACCCTGAGCCTGAGGGCAGGAAGGAAGAGGTTAAGAAGGGATGTTCTTAATGCTGGCTATCCTCAGATGCCCTCCTTCTCTTCCTCTGGCTTGCAAGCCCCCCTCCCTCAGAGCTTCCAGCGCGACACCCCAGTCACTCCGCAGGAGCAGTCTTCACAGGGTAAATGTGGGCCATTCTGTTCCTAGGGTTACTGTGGCCACTCTGAGGCTGGGTAGAGGCTGCCTACTCTACACAGCCGTCGGCAGGATGTTAAGACATGAACTGTTTCTCAGCTGCTCAGGGGCCTGGGGGGAGAGGCTGAGAAAGAGCTATAGGCTACCAGCAGGCCTGGCTGCAGGGTTGCTAGCCTGGCCCATCTGCTCCTTCCCCTGTGTGCCGTCCAGTCAAGAACTGCAGCGTCTCACCCCGTACTGGGCCCGGAGACACAAGTGGAGACAAACCAGACAGAATCTGAGCCCGAGGTGGTGGCGACAGTGTCCCGAAGGCCTCCCATGTGCCTCTGGCCAGCCTACCGACAAACAGTAGGGTGAAGATGATGGCGAGCTGGTACACGGCATGGCCCAGAATGTTCTTCATCATGGTGTGGGAGATGAGGGGCTTGTCACGGCCGTACGGCTTCCGCAGCAGCAGCGACTCCGTGGGTGGCTCCGTCGCCAGGGCCAGAGAGGCAAACGTGTCCATGATCAAGTTCACCCGTAATATCTGCACGGCTTTGAGAGGAGAGTCCTACGGAGAGGAGGCAGTCACCTTTCCATGGGCCGCCTGCCTGGGAAGGTTGGGGGTGGAAACGCAGTAGCTCCTGGGGGCTCCTCATGGGGTCCACATCACCAGGATTTCATGCCCATGAAAACAGACATCTCCATCCCTACATTGCCTTTATGCTAGCAGGGCGTTTTCTTTGGGCTGTCATGTGCCCGCCTCTCTTCTCTCATCTGGCAGCAGGTGTGCTCCAAATCCCTCGCAGGAGGTGAAAAACCCCAGACCACAAAACAGCCCGACGATGGGGTCTGCCACTGGGGGCAACAGAGTGAGGGCTGCCCTCCTTGTCTCCTGCACCTCAGGGGCAGGAGGAGGCAGAAACTCTGAACTGGACCTTCCTTCTCAGCTCCTCTGAGTTGTTGGTTAAAAATCAGCCTCACAGAAGCCAGACACACAAGGCCACGTACTGTCTGATTCCATTCATAGGAAACTTCCAGAACTGACAAATCCATAGAGAGAGAAAGCAGATGAGTGGGTGCCAGGGGCTGGGGTTCAGGGAGTAGAGAGTGACTGCTCACGGGGTTTGGGTGTCCTTTTGGGGTGGTGATGAGAGTGTTCTGGGAATAGACAGTGGCAATGGTTGCTCAACATTATGGAGGAATATAAACCTCTGAGTTAGGTACTTTCATAAGGTTCAAATGGTTCTGGTGAAGTTTGTTAGGTGATTTTTATCTCAATTAAAAAAATTTTTTTGAAAAGACCAAGTTGATCAGCAGACAATTTAAATCCCTGTCAGCAACAAATAGGTATTTATTTGCCCCCCTCTTTCTAAGGGGGGGGGCGAAGAAAATCTGGACACTCACCAATGGGGAAAATGGGACTATTGAGAAAGGGTTCCCATGGGATGCACAGCCCATGCAGAAACTCATACACAGATGCTCCTGGCAGCACCATTCACAGGAGCCAAAAACTGGGAACAAGCCATGTGTCCATCAGGACAGACATACATAATGTGGCAATCTGTGCCATGGAGTGTTATGAAGCCATGAAAAGGCAGAAGGTCCTGCCCTCTGTGTGTGTGAGCCTGAAAACGCGGTGCTAAGCGAGATGCCAGACACAAGAGGCCACATATGATTTGATCCCACAGGAATTAAACGTTCGGAACAGGCAAATCCATAGACCCAGGAAGCCCATGAGTGGTTGCTGGGGGCTGGGATGTTTGGGGGAGAAATGGGGAGATGACTGCTCAAGAGCACAGGGTTTCTTTTTAAGATGATGACAGTCTTCTGGAACTAGATAGAGCCGATGGTTGCACAACATGGTGAATGTTCTCAAAATTTGAGTACTGAATTGTATACTTGAAAATGGTGAATTTTTGGCATGTGAATTTGTTGTCAACTAAAATAATCTGCAGCAAAGAAAACAAAACCCTCACTCTCACAATCTGGCCCTCAGGCCTGAGCCCAGGTGTCCTACAGCGGGGGCGCAGCAGCCCCCAGTACCCACCTGAGTAATGCAGGCGCCTGTGAAGGCCACGATCACGGCCACCGCATTGACCGTCAGTTGAAACTGCAGGAACTTGGAGATGCTGTCATAGACGTTACGGCCCCACATGACGGCCTTGACAATGCTGGTGAAGTTGTCATCAGTCAGGATGATGTCAGAGGCCTCCTTGGCCACGTCGGTCCCTGCGATGCCCTGCGGGGTGACACACACTCACACACACAGAGTGTTTGTGGGGGCCCCTTCCCCAGACCTCCCGATCACCTGGCCTACCTGGGCTGACTCCCTGCCCTCCCCTTCTGAATAACATCCCACCCCGTCCCCCAAAGCCAAGAACAGCATTGTTTTTGTTGTTGTTGTTTTTATGCAACACATTCTAGTACTATGAACAGTAAGTTGTCACATGTCACAGTGAGGGGGCCTTTGCTCATAAACACATAAAGCCCAGCTGCCACCACGTGGCCACCAAGCAGTGTGGTCTGTTCTTAGCACTCCAGAGACGCTTGCTGGCTAAGGAGCCATGGGAAGTCCTACATGAGGACACCCTGGGCGGGTGGGTCTTTGCCCATGCAAGCGCAGCTGCAGCTGTGCCAAGCTGCTCAGCCCTCTACTCTGACCCAAGCCTGGCCCTGTGACAGCTGCCACCTCTCGAAGCTTGGGCTGGAGCTCCCTTCTGGGCTACAGGTGCTGGGAAGGACTGGGCTGGGTTCCCCGGGTGGCACTCCTTTTTGGTAGGGCAGGGAGAGGCGCTCACCAGGTTGCTGCGTTCAGCGGCTGTTTTCAGTGGCTGTGGGGCCACTGTGGGGCTGCAACCTGCCATGCGGGTGGTGTCTGCAGGGCCACCCTACTCAGTGGGTGAGCAACAGGAAGGAAGTGCAGAGGAAGAGCACATCTGGGGACTCTGCTTACCTCATCTGGGGATGACAGTCCATTTAGAGAGGACTGGGGGTGGGCAATGCCATCAGTGATGAGCCCCTGCCCCCCATTCCCCTTCCTCTCCACAGTATGTCTGGGGCCCACTGTCACCTTGGGCATCACAGCAGATGCCTTTAACCACATGTCCCCTGAATGGCCAAGCCCACGCCGGCCCAAGTGGCCAGGATGTGAGAGAAAGAACCTTCAGGCACTCTGTAACCTGCCCCAACACTGGCTCCCACTTCCTGGTACAAAGCTAATGTCCATGGGACAGATGCTGGCCCCATCTGCCATGGTGAGTTGGGCTGGCACCAGGTGGCTTACCATGGCGAAGCCTACGTCTGCCTTCTTGAGGGCCAGCCCATCGTTGGTGCCATCCCCTGTCACTGCCACCACCTGCCACTGCTCACCAGTGGTGCTGTCGATAATCCCTGCAAGAAAAATCAGGGCAGGGCAGGGCTGGGGCCATCTGTCACCACAACCCTGTGTAGCTATGGGGGTAAGTTGGCTGTGAAAACCCTTCAGGATTGCCCCGTCCTGACTGTCCCAGTCATCTGTGCTCCCTGTCACCTGGATCATCTCCTATCCCCAAATAAGTAAGCAAGTCTCACTGAGTGACAGGGCCAGGGTGGGAAGGTAGGGATCTGCTTAGGGCCTGGGGACATGACCCTGGGTCCCTGGCTCTAGACCTACTGCTTCTAGAGACTCGCTGTGTGACCTGGAGTGAGTCACTAGCCCTCCCCAAACCCCAGTTCCCTCATGGGCCCCTGCCCTGCTGCTTTGGGCTAATGGAACAAATGGACCCAGCTTCCTAGGCAGGCCCTGGGGACCTGTTTGGGAACCTGGCTTTTGGTGTCAGGAAGCAGACAACCTCAGGTTGGCCACCCCAGGAAAGGGGTGTGGGACCTCGGCTACCTTTAACCAGCGTGTGCTTGTCGGTGGGAGACGACCAGGCCAGCACCCTCAGCTTGGGCCACACCTTGTCCAGCCGCTCCTGTTCTATCTGGGGAGGGGAAGCGCAAGGACACTGCAGAGCTAGGGCAGGCACACAGGGCGATGGGGGAAGGAGAGGAGGGTCTGGGGTGGCAGACAGCTGGGTGCTACCTCGCCTTTCTCGTTGCGGATCCGTCAGTTGAACTCCTTCCCTTCCAGGCACAGGAAGTCCTCCCCAGGCTGGATGATGCCACATTTGGCTGCGATGGCCCGGGCCATGTTGATGTTGTCTCCAGTCACCATGCAGACTGTGATGCCAGCACGCTGGCATTTTCGGATAGCTTCAGGGACCTAGAAGATATAAGAGAGGTGGGTGGGGTCATTGAGGCAAGACGTATTTTGGGCTGAAGCAGTACCCCTTCCTCCATCAGATCTGCGGCCGGCCCAAAGTCCAGCAGAGATGACAGTAAAGCCAAACCATGGGTCCCCATGCAGGGCCCCTGTGGAGGCATGGGCCCAGAGGAGGCCTAGAGGGTGGCAGGGCTGTCCCACCCCAGCCAAGCCGCAATGAGCAGGTGCTTGCCTCCTTCACTGTGTCAAGCCCTGGGAGTGCCAGGCCCTGGGGACCAGTGACGACACAGATCCAGGCCCTGATGGCAGAGGCATGGCAGGGAAAAGTCACTGGAAGCTTTACGCTGTTCAGGGGCACCATCAGACTCACGTCTGGAAAGGTCACCTGGGTGACCATAGAAATCACCAAAAAGAAGCTTTCTCAGAAACTTCTTTGAGATACGTGAATTCATCTCACATAGTTATGCCTCACTTTCATGGAGCCCTTTGCAAGGACTGTTTTTGTGGAAACTGAAAAGTGATATTTTGTATCGCTTTGAAACTTATGGTGACAAAGGAAATATCCTCAGAATAAACAAGAAAGAAACTTTCAGAGAAACTGCTTTGTGAAGTGTGAATTCATCACACAGAGTCACACCACTCTTACAAGGAGGACTTTGCTAGCACTCTTTTTTTGGAATCTGAGAAGTGATATTTTGGATCGCTATGAAGACTATACAGACAAAGGAAATATCCTCAGATAAAAACAAGAAAGAAACTTTCAGAAGAACTGCCTTGCGATGTGTGAATTCATCTCACAGTTACACCACTCTTTCATGGAGGTGTTTGCTAGCACTGTTTATTTAGAATCACAGAAGAGATAACTTCGATAACATTGAATCCCATGGTGAAAAAAGAAATATCCTCATATACAAACTTGAGAGAAGCCTTCTCAGAAACTGCTTTGTGTTGTGAGAATTCACCTCACAGAGTTACACCATTGCTTTCATTGAAAAGTTTGCAACACTGTTTTCACAGAATCTGCAATGAGATATACAAGAGTGCATTGAGACTTGAAATATCCTCAGATCAAAACAGGAAAGAAGCTTTCTGAGAAACTGCTTTGCAATGTGTGAATTCATCTCACAGATTTACACTACAATTTCGTGGAGACATTTGCTAGCACTGTTTTTGTGGAATCCGAGAAGTGATATTTTGGATTGCTATGAAGACTATACAGACAAAGGAAATATGCTCAGATAAAAACCAGAAAGAAGCTTTCTCAGAAACTGCTTTGTGATGTGTGAATTCATCTCACAGAGTTACACAAATCTTTCATGTAGTAGTTTGCTAGCACTGTTTTTGTGGAATCTGAGAAGTAATATTTTAGATCACTTTGAAGACTATGGAGACAAGGGAAATATCCTCAGATAAAAAACAGAAATAAGCTTTCTGAGAAACTGCATTTTGATGTTTGAATTAATATCACATTGCAACACCACTACTTCATGCAGCCTTTTGCTAGCACCGTTTTTATGGAATATGAGAAGTGATATTTTGGATTGCTATGAAAACTATACAGACAAAGGAAATATCCTCAGATAAAAACCAGAATGAAGCTTTCTGAGAAACTTCTTTGGGATGTGTGAATTCATCTCACAGAGTTACACCACTGTTTCATGCAGCCTTTTGCTAGCACTGTTTTTGTGGAATCTGAGAAGTGATATTTTGGATCGCTATGAAAACTATACAGAAAAAGGAAATATCCTCGGATAAAAACCAGAAAGAAGCTTTCTGAGAAACTGCTTTGTGATGTGTGAATTCATCTCACAGAGTTACACAAATCTTTCTTGTAGGGGTTTGCTAGCACTGTTTTTGTGGAATCTGAGAAGTAATATTTTGGTTCATTTTGAAGACTATGGTGACAAGGGAAATATCCTCAGATAAAAAAAAACAGAAATAAACTCTGTGAGAAACCGCATTGTGATGTTTGAATTCATATCACATTGTAGCACCGCTAGTTCATGCAGTCTTTTGCTAGCACCATTTTTGTGGAATCTGAGAAGTGATATTTTGGATCTCTATGAAGACTATATGGACATAGAAAATATCCTGAGATAAAAACCAGAAAGAAGCTTTCTGAGAAACAACTTTGGGATGTTTGAATTCATCTCACAGAGATACACCACTGTTTCATGCAGCCGTTTGTTTGCACTAATTTTGTGGAATGTGAGAAGTGATATTTTGCATCACTATGAAGACTACATGGACAAAGGAAAAATCCTCAGATAAAAACCAGAAAGAAACTTTCTGAGAAACTGCTTTATGATGTGTGAATTCATCTCACAGAGTTACACACTCTTTTGTGGAGACGTTTGCTAGCACTGTTTTTGGGGAATCTGAGAACTGATATTTCAGATTGCTTTGAAGACAATATAGACAATGGAAATATCCTCAGACGAAAAACAGAATGAAGCTCTCTGACAAACTGCTTTGTGATGTGTGAATTCAACTCACAGTGTTACATCACTCTTTCATGGAAGAGTTTGCTAGCACTGTTTACATGGAATCATGGAAGAGATATCTTGGGTAACATTGAATCCCATGGTCAGCAAAGAAATATCCTCAGATACAAACTGGGGAGAAGCCTTCTTAGAAACTACTTTGTTGTGAGTGAATTTATCTCACAGAGTTACACCATTGCTTTCATTGAGAATTTTGCCATCACTGTTTTCGCAGAATCTTCAATGAGATATACGGGAGTGCATTGAGACCTGAAATATCCTCAGATAAAAACAAGAAAGAAGCTTTCTGAGAAACTACTTTTTGATGTGCGAATTCATCCCACAGAGTTATACCAGTATTTTGTGGAGCCGTTTGCTAGCACTGTTTTTGTGGAATCTGAGAACTGATATTTTGGATTGCTTTGAAGACTATACGGACAAAGGAAATATCCTCAGATAAAAACCAGAATGATGCTTTCTCAGAAACTGCTTTGTGATGTGTGAATTCATTTCACAGAGTTACACCATTATTCGTGCAGGAGTTTGCTAGCACTGTTTTTGTGGAACCTCAGAAGTGATATTTTTGTGTCATTGAATCCCATGGTGAAAAATGAAACATCCTAAGATCAAAACTGGAGAGAAGCCTTCTCAGAAACTGCTTTGTTGTTGGTGAATTGAGCTCACACTGTTACACCACTCTTTTCATGGATCACTTTGTTAGTACTCCGTTTGGAGAATTTGAGATGGGATATTTAAGAGCCCAGTGAAGCTGATGGTAACAAAGGAAATATCCTCAGATAAAAACTGGAAAGAGGCCTTCTGAGATACTGCTTTTTGATGTCTGTATTCATCAAAGAGAGTTACGCCATTCTTTTCATACAGCAGTTTACTAACACTGTTTTCATGGAAAATGCAGTAGGATGTTTGGGAGTGCTTTGAAGCCTATGGTGACAAAGGAAATATCCTCAGATAAAAATCAAAAAGAAGTCTTCAGAGAAACTGATTTGTGATGGGTTATTTCATCTCAGAGTTACACCCTTCTTTTCATTGAGCCTCTGCTAAAACTGTTTTTGTGGAATCTGCGTTAGGACATTTGGGAGCACATTGAAGCCTATGGGGACAAAGGAAATATCCTCAGATAAAAACCAAAAAGAAGCTTTCTGAGAGACTACTTTGGAGGTGTCAATTCATCTCACAGAGTTAAACGATTCTTTTCATGGATCACTTTGTTAGCACTCTTTTTGGGGAAACTGAGAAGGAATATTTTGGATTGCATTGAAGCCTACGGTGACAAGGAAATATTTTCAGATAAAAACTGGAAATAAGCCTTCTGAGATAATGCAGATAATGCTTTGTGATGTGTGAATACATCTCACAGTGTTACAATGTTATTTTCATTGAACAGCCTGCTAATACTGTTTTCTTGGAATCCGTAAAGGGATATTTCCAGCGCATTGAAGCTTATGGTGACAAAGGAAATATCCTCAGAGAAAAACAAGAAAGAAGGTTTCTGAGAAATTGCTTTCTGATGTGTGAATTCAACTCAAAGCGTTATACATTCCTTTCATGGAGCAATCTGTTACCACTGTTTTTGGAGAATCTAAGAAGAGATATTTTGGATCACATTGAAGCCTATGTTGACAAAGGAAATATCCTCAAATAAAAGCTGGAAAGAAGCCCTCTGAGAAACGTCTTTGGGATGTGTGAATTCACCTCACAGAGTTACACCTGTCTCTTCATGAAGCAGTTTGCTAACACTGTTTTCATGGATTCTGCAAAGTGATACTTGGTAGTGCATTGAGGCCTATGGTAAAAAAGCAAATATCCTCAGATAAAAACTAGAAAGAAATTTTCTGAGAAACTGTTTTGTGATGGGTTAATTCAACTCACCAAGTTACATCGCTCTTTTCAGTGAGCAGTTTGCTAACACTGTCTTCGTGGAATCTGTGTTAGGATATTTGGGAGCGCATTGAAGGCTATGGTGACTTGGAAATATCATCAGATTAAAATTAGAAAGAAGTTTTCAGAGGAACTGCTTTGTGATTCGTTAATTCATCTCATAGCGTTGCATTGTACTTTTCTCTGAGCAGTTTGCTAACACTATTTTCTTGGAATCTGCAATGCGATATCTCTTGGCACAATGAAGCTTACAGTGACAAGAGAAATATCCTCAGATAAAAACTAGAAAGAAGCTTTCTGAGAAACTGCTTTGTGATGTGTCAATTCAGCTCACAGAGTTACACTTTTATTTCTTGGAGCAGTCAGTTACACCTGTTTTTGGGGAATCTGAGAAGGAATATTTTGGATCTCATTGAAGGATACACTGACAAAGGAAATATCCTCAAATAAAAACTAGAAAGAAGCTTTCTGAGTAACTTCTTGGTGATGGATTAATTCATTTCACATGGTTACATCACTATATCATGGAGCCGTTCGCTAGCACTCTTTTTCTGAAATCTGAGAACTGATATTTCGGATCACTTTGAAGACTATACGGACAAAGGAAATGTCCTCAGACAAAAAACCAGAATGAAGCTTTCTGAGAAACTGCTTTGTGATGTGTGAATTCATTTCGGAGAGTTACACCACCCTTTCATGGAGTAGTTTGCTAGTACTGTTTTTGTGGAATCTCAAAAGCGATATCTTGGATATCATTGAATCCTATGGTGAAAAACCGAATATCCTCAGATAAAAACTGGAGAAAAGCCTTCTCAGAAACTGCTTTGTTGTGGGTGAATTCAGCAGACAGGGTTACACCATTGCTTTCATTGAGAAGTTTGATAACACTATTTTTGCAGAATCTGCAATGGGTTGTACGAGAGCACTTTGAGGAATGAAATGTCCTCAGATAGAAAGAAGTTTTCTGAGAAACTGCCTTGTGATGTGTGAACTCATCTCCCAGAGTTACACTACA